ATCTTTTTATATCCAGCAAAAGAAATGTGGTCATACCACTATAGTGGAGAAGGTATTATGCGTTTGTGTTGTTGTTTGTAAAACACGAAATATGCTCAACGTCACTTTCTCAGTCGATTTAGCGATGTCCGTCTTTCCGTCCGTCCTTCCTCCGCCCGTCTGTCTGTCTGTGTATCCATATAAAGCAATTTTCAAGATAATTTGGTACACCGAAGCCTATTGAAAATTATTTAAATTGGTCCATTATTTCGACTAGCCCCCATAAAACCGAACATGTTTTATCCATTCCGGAGTTGATTAAGCCATGTCCGTCTGTCTGTCTGTCTGTCTGTCTGTTCGTCTGTTTGTTTGTTTGTTTGTCTGTCTGTCTGTCTGTCTGTCTGTCTGTCTGTCTGTTTGTTTGTTTGTTTGTTTGTTTGTTTGCTTGTTTGTTTGTTTGTTTGTTTGTTTGTTTGTTTGTTTGTCTGTCTGTCTGTCTGTCTGTTTGTTTGTTTGTTTGTTTGTTTGTTAGTTTGTTTGTTTGTTTGTTTGTTTGTTTGTTTGTTTGTTTGTTTGTTTGTTTGTTTGTTTGTTTGTTTGTTTGTTTGTTTGTTTGTTTGTTTGTTTGTTTGTTTGTTTGTTTGTTTGTTTGTTTGTTTGTTTGTTTGTTTGTTTGTTTGTTTGTTTGTTTGTTTGTTTGTTTGTTTGTTTGTTTGTTTGTTTGTTTGTTTGTTTGTTTGTTTGTTTGTTTGTTTGTTTGTTTGTTTGTTTGTTTGTTTGTTTGTTTGTTTGTTTGTTTGTTTGTTTGTTTGTTTGTTTGTTTGTTTGTTTGTTTGTTTGTCTGTCTGTCTGTCTGTCTGCTTGTCTGTCTGTCTGTCTGTCTGTCTGTCTGTCTGTCTGTTTGTCTGTCTGTATGTCTGTATGGCTGTCTGTCTGTCTGTCTGTCTGTCTGTCTGCTGTCAGTGTGTCTGTTGAAATCAGTTTTCTGAAGACCCCAGATATCTTCGGGATTCAAATCTTTATATATAAAATTCGGCAAAGGTGAATATAGACTTCTTGACTGCACCCCATGAGGTCGAAATTCAAAACTTAAACTACTCAATACTTCCTTTTACACTCTACAATATGTAGTGTGTTGAACAACTCTCATTGTAGAACCATTTATACTTATGTACTGGTTGCTGCCTTAATTTTGACCCCCATTAATTCTTTGGAGACATTTAATGAATATTTTCCTTTAATAAAATATTCTACAAATAAAGAAATTTAAGTACAGATCAAAAGGTCCTAAGTATGTATAAATTGAGTTTTTTTTCTCTTCTTTGTGCCAAAAAGAGCAATTGCTGTTAATTTAGTTGGTAAATATGTTTTTGATTTTTATTTTCATAAATAAATTATTTCTTTAGCACATTGTGGTTTAATATGATTCTAACATAATTTTGCGGTTAATTACATTTTTGGTAAAAATATTATTTTATAAATTATTACAAATTTAAGGCACAAAGGGTCAAAAAGTTGAAATTATTTAAATTATATAATTTATTTTGGTTTTTTTGTTGGTTTTATTACAAAATTATAAAGAATTTCTTTGAATTTAAACCCTTAATAATTCATTTAAATGTGTATTTTATTGTTAAAGGAAACAAGGTCATTTTGTTAAATTAACATAACAGCTGTATTGTGCAGTGACATTTAGTTAATAAAAGGAATGTTTAAAATAAGTCTGATATATAAATAAGTAATTAAACAAAATCGAATCAAATAACCAAAACTTGGCAGACAGAGTTATAGACCGGAAATGAAACCTCAAAATGAAAGGCAAACACTAATAAATATTGATTGCACCAAAATATTAAAATATTTTTAACTAATAATTTATAGCTTAATTTGTAACTGCGAATATTTTCTATCTAATTTTTTTGCATTAAATTTATTTTTTTTAATTTTCTTAAAATTTTTCATAATCAATTTAAATTTTAGACAATTTGTTTAAAACAAAAATGTTAATGCAAAACATTAAATTGTACCAAATAAATAATATGTATAATGGTAAAATATCTATAGAAAATAACCTGTACTAATAAGATATGAAAAATGATACCTTTAAGAGCACAATGGAACAGTAGCAACTGGGAAAGCATCAACAATAAACTACATATGGTGGCAGTAAATAAGCAACAAAACATCAAACACTTTGGTAATATACATCATATTCATATGTATACATGTCAGCTAGCAAGATGTATGAAGATGAAAAAAACCAACAATTTACTTTACAGATATTTTATTTTTCTAGAAAAAAATTTGTAAAATTTCACACATTTATAGTTGCAACAATAATAACAATGAAAAATGGTAAAGCCCGACAAATATGTTGCCCTTAAGAATGGCAGAAAAAGAACTTCCAAAGAAGCAAAAAATAAGTAGAATTTACTCTATGGAAGTACTTAAGAAGACCTGAGGAAGTGATGATTTTAACACAGGTTTGATTAGAAAAATCTAAGCATTTTTTCGAAACTGGACCTTATATAACAGCTATGGTGAGTCCATAATCCCAAGCTGTGAACCTTACTTAGTAGTTACCAAAAGTCATACCAAGCCGATTGATACTTTATAGTTGATGTAGATTTAAATTTTTTTTATGCCTTACAAAAATCATTATTACCTACCAACTGTGGTGATGGGTAAGTAGGGTACAAAAACATGAAATATGCATATACAAGGAAAATAACTATGTATGTTTATATCTTGATACAAAATAATGATTATAAATAAGTGCAAAAGTAGGTATTTTTTATGCCGTAAAGAGAATGGTTTCATAATTCGACACCAGTTCTGTCTTGTTTAAGAAAATCAAATCAATATAGTGCAAATTTAGCTAAAAGAAGAAAACTTTAGCATTTTTTCTTTAACAAAATACAACAGGCGATAAAATTTACTTTTTATGCAATTTTGCTACTTTAAATCATGAATCCCTTAATTCTTAAAAAAATTTTGAAAATGTTCCAAAACCATGTTCCAAATTCTGCCATTTGAAAGCGATAGAAATTTCTAATAAAATTATTTTAAATTCTATTGAGGTTTCGGTCGCTTTCGAATGCCGGATTTTTGACCCCCGGTGGTATGTTTCCTTGATGAAAGACTCTCATCTTGGTGTATCCAAGAGGGGTAAAGAGGTGGCGGTTAAAAGATTGATGCACGGTGAAATCTATATTTCGGGATAAGTTTCCACAGAGGAGGGACTGAGAGTTGGTAATGAGTTGGTGTTAAATGTATATGATATATGATGAATGTAGGGGTATACGGATCTCATCCGCCTGTATACATAAAGTGAGTCTGTCGTATGTTGTTACCTTATGAGTGTGTCGGATGAATGAGAAGTGTGCAGGGTTGAATGGTGATTTATGAAAGATATCTTATACAAGTGATACCAAGTATGTTCAGTGAAAACTCTGTTCAAACCAGATTTACCACAGTGTGTTCTCTGCGAGAAAGAACAAAGTCTTCGGCTTATTTGATGGATTCGTACATCAGTCTACAGGTTACGTCTCTAGGTGCTGTTTCCGAGTGATGTTTTTGCATCTCGGAAGTTAAGCAACGAGGCAGTAATAAAGATTAGATAGCTCAAGTACTTGAACAAAGTGCTTGTACATGGACCGGCAAAGCCATGTACAAAAATTGCCACCTGCGTGTAATATACACAATGTGGTGGTGGTGAATCGTCACAGAAATTTACCCAGTGGTTAAGAAAGACCACCGTGAAATAGGCCAACACGACAGGTGTTCACGTAAAGCACTTCAACATTCATACCCTTCTTACAAAGGAAAAGGGTAACAATTTTCAATAAGCTTCATCCTTGGGTCAAAAGAAGAGTATGTGTTAAATTACAGACGTAAAGAAAGATTGAAGAAATAGTTATATAAAGTCCTTTAGACAATTTTTGCTAGGACCAATAGGAGTACAATTACACACACTTGAAAAAAACCCATATATGTACCAAAAGATCCAACTTTGACCCTCTCTTACTGCTGGAGTATTTGACCTACTATATAATATTACTAATATTGGTGCAAATTTTATCCAATAGATTTTTTTACATTTGTTGTTAGTGAAATAAAAGAAAAGTGAAGTAAATTGGAAAATATTTTGTCCTGTGCTTATCAAAATTGGATCGTTTTAAAATTTTTGATATACCCGAGGTGGACTTATAATGTCAGAAATCAAAACTTTTGTTCTGAATCGAACGAAAAGTTTAGAAGTTACACAATTATTTCTCTCTTTTGTTATTTCTATACCAATGTGGGCCGCTATATGAGGCTTGTTATGATACTTGGAAAAAATTAGTGGGAAAACCTTCTATAGTGATCTATAAAAGTATTTTCTTCCGATGTTCACAAACTAAGTTTCATGCAGGTATTTCTTCCAATAAAAAGGATCAAGCATTTCAGTGTCTTCTCCGCATACTATATATTTTTAAGAATTCTACTATATATTCTTAAGAATTCCTGCGAATTATCAAAATGTTATCAAAGACTCATACTTATTCTAAGAAGGTTTTTCTTCCTCCTATCAATACGATTATCCTACAGTATCTCCGTCCGACTATACTTTTTAAGCCGCTGTCTTTTGTTAACTTATCAAGCTACATACTTCTAAGGAAATTTCTATAAACTCAGTAAAAATATGCATAACTTTTACTGAAACTATAAAACATCCATACGGTTTCTTTGTAAATAGAAACTTCTAACGGAAATAGTTACAGTGTTATAAAAAATCTGAAATCCAAAAATTAAAGACTTTCTAATAACATACACACTCTCCATTCTTAAGACTTTAATTTCTGAATTTATAAAGTAATGAACCCAAGGTCAAAGTATTTGTACAGGATGTATGTATGTATCTCTACAAAACTTCCTGATATTGATTTCTGGTATTTCAAATCTTAAAGTTGTTTCAATTAACTTTATTCACACTATTTATCTGTAGGTTATACAAAAATATTTATATGTTGTTCACTTACCTTCTAGAAACAATCCATGCACATAGACACCTTCAGTTGGATACTCCGTTATGTCCTCTTTATTATAGCGTGTTATTTGATTTTGCAATACTACAGAGTCAAGAGCCCAACCTTTGTGAGCTCGTGTTACTTCCTGCAGACACATGAGACAACAATGTCAGTGCCATAACAAATTCCCACCAATATACACACACGTACGCAAACACGTATATTTATTCCAAAAAAAAAGTAGTTATAAAGTAAAAATAGTTATAGAAGGACCATCACAAATACACATGCATGAAAGGAAAAATAGTTGTGAAAAATATGGGAATTTGTTGTTT